TTTAACTAAACCCGTACGGTACGTAAGTAAAACGTAATAACCTTACGTTTAGTCATATACGTTGTTCTTCGTTGTTTTAGTTTTAGTATAGTATTATATATATATATATATATATATATATATATATATATAGAGTAAGAGAGAGACACACACACATAATTTAAGATATAAGAATAATGATATATGTGTCTTGCTGTGTTACAGTTTATTGATGGTCGGATATACATACAGAAAGGCAAGTTACTGAAACCAGCTTATGTAGTTTATCATACAACACCAAATTCTGAAGAACTTGGAAAGAACCTCTGGGCTCAAAGGAAGAATACAGATAGTCCTGTTTCTGACTCTCAAGGTAGTGAATCTCCACTTTCCAGTCACTGCCCAAGCCCAGGAGACTGTACTTACTCATTAGAAGAAACAAATGAATATGATCTCCAGACAGGAAAGGTAGGCAGATATCTAAAGTTATTTTTGAATCTGGTGGCTTTATGCCAAGATATTTTACCGTAATAATCAAAGTGTCATGAAAAGAATTGAAAGACATGTTCAGCTACAAAAGCCTAAATAAAAACCTATTCTTAAGTTGTTCATTTGTGTGAATACCTTACACCTTTATACCCAAAGATAATTTAAGAATCTGTGCTATTAAAATGATTTATAGATTTATTTAAAGATCAGTGACATAGCTGGTCATGTTTAAATGTGGATGCTTCAAGTTGATATGAATGTATGTAGATGTAGTAACTGCTGTTTCACGTAGACAGAGCAAGACAGTATGAAGGACCAAGAACATGAAATGTGTTTATGACCATTTTGGAGTAAATGTCAGTTATTGTAAAAATGAACTTAAGCAGACAAAAGGAAAACAATGGTCTTTTGTTCTTCAACATAACCCGTGTAAAAACCTTACTTTCCAGAAGTCAATAGTTTGGTAGCAGGTAGTTTCAAACAGCTTCTGTTCTGAAACATGTTTCCTCAGAGAGTATTGACTGCAAGTTACTCTTTAAAAATATCACTTCATTGACAGTATGCTCTCTTAACCTGATAGAAATGATGCCATTTTTAAGCCCCATTCTGCATATGTTACTGAATTACATTAACATTTTAACTAAACCACTTTACTATAAATGTATTTTAATGAAATTATTATTATAAAGTTTTATATTATCTTATGTTTTATTCCTTTATTTTAAAAAGAAGCATCTATAACAGCAATTAAAACTTCAGTTTTTGCTGTCACTTGATCCTCTTGCAGTTACAAGTTCTCAACTTTAAGAGACCTTATATAAGAAACCGTGAGTAGCTAATATAGAATGTCAGCATATGCTGTAAAGTAAAGTTGCAGCTGTATTTCTTTAGCATCTGGAAACCTTCCAAGAATTTCTCCCCATGTGAAATAACATTCTAAGTATTTCTAAGTTTAAAGTTAGCCATGCCCATTTGCAAAGTCAAAGCTGTGTTGCTAAGTGACAGTTTGAAGTTGAATGGTATGCTTATAACCAATAGAAAAAGCAGATTTTCCGCTATTTAGTTATAGCCAGAAGAAACTATTACCAGGGTATAGATCTGTAGTAGGAGATGGAAAAGAATCTTAGTCCATTGTTCTTTTTGTTTGTGGGGTACATAATGCTTGGCAAGTGTTTGTCACCTTATGTATATCAGTTTGCTAGACAGTTAGATTGCATTTAGATTTTATGTATATCTTAATTTAATATGCATTATTTGTCTTTTAAAATGTGTATTTGAAAGGTTTATGATTTTAATGTTTCACTTGTTGCAGCTTGGCTTGTGAAAACGTCTAAGCAAGATGGCGTCATTCACATATGTGAGAATTAGCGAAAGAATTTGTGTGTCAACCTATAATAACAATAGAGCACTGCGGAGACATGTTGGCATACTGACATCAAGAATAAAAGATAAAGAATTAGACAAGAAAATTAAAAATAAACTATAAGGGAAAATATAAAGAAGTGAAATTATGCATATTAAAAAAAAACAAGTTTCAAAAGACTTCTATAAGGAGCTAAAAGCTATCCATATTTCCATTTCTTAATTTTAAACATTTCATTCCACTGATGATAATTAGAGTTAGTGATATAGTAGAGAAAATTGAAAATACAACGTAAACATTGACCTTAAAAACTTTTGATATTCATTTAGGAGGTTATAGAAATTATGCATGTGAAATGTGAAAAGTGTAAAATAAGAAATAATATTTTTACACTCAAAATGCAAATCACACTGCTTGTGAACTATTTAGAATCCAAATGCAAATAACTACATTAACTCTATTGCTGTAGGTACCCTATACTGCACAGGACACAAGGTTTTAGTGTCTTACATTCAAAATTTTAATAAACTACTTTTTGTTTATGTTACACCATTTAGTATAGCATAAAATCTTAGTTAAGAATCCATATTCTAATAGTATACAAGTTCTTAGTTTTATAAGGCAATGTTAAAAAAAATTCTGAAGTTTCCCCTACTGTGACACACATGACACATTTTCTCTAGGCATCTTCTTTTCTGTATTTTATCCACCACCCTTCCAAAAAAAAGTATGAAATTAAGCATAAATTACTCACTATAAAATCATCATTACTCAGAAAAACCATAATTTTTATAGTCTTCAATTTTGTTTGATTACAAACCTATAAATAGAAAATAAGACCCAACCTGTCACATCATGTCTTTCACAATTTGTTGATAGTTTTCTCTTATGTTTAATTATATATTACCTGCAAACAATAGAAAGTCAAGATTTTCATCTAACGAATGATGTGTTGTATAACATTATGTTCTGAGCAGATAATCATCCATTTCACTTAGAGTACAAGCTCCTTTTCTGTGGGGAAAGGAATTTTGAGATGAAGAAAAGTAATTTTAATCTTAACATGAAAATTACTTTGCACACGGACTATTCTAAAGAAATGCTTAATATATTCTTGGACAAATGTTTGTTTTAGCTTATTATCTCTCTCAATATGGGCTTGGTCAATTTGACCAACCACATGACCTCTTTGTACTCATTTAAAGTCTTTATAGATTTAATACTTCTATCTTTCAATATAGTGTGTATATCTTCACAGATTTTGGCAGTCTTTCAGTAAATAAGATTTTCACATATAAGTGAATGATTTATTGTTTAAGTAACCATTCAAAATGTATATAATTTTTAATTGATAAAGTAGTGTCTAACTCTCTCAACACAGGGTCAGTCAATTTGTCTGACTCACGTGATCTTTTGTACTCGTTTAAAGTCTTTATAAATTTAATACTTATAACTCTCAATATATTAGGTATATCTTCACGAAATGTGGAAGACTTTCAGTTAATATTACAAAACTTTCACATACAAAAAGTCATATTTCTTAGTGAAGTATTTTAAATAAAATAAAATAAAGATTTTTCCATGAATATATTGAGTATTTGTTTTGAATAGTCCATTTGCAAAGTAATTTTCATGTTAAAATTAACCTTATCACCCCCAGTATCCTTTACTGT